CTGACTGTTCCTGATCACTTTCCTCTCCTCTAAGTGCTTCAGAATTGATTCCTTGAGGACCTGCTCCATGATTTTTCCAGGGACTGAGGTGAGGCTGACTGGCCTGTAGTTCCCAGGATCCTCCTTCTTCCCGTTTTTAAAGATGGGCACTACAGTAGCCTTTTTCCAGTCATCCAGAACTTCCCCCGATCGCCATGAGTTTTCAAAGATAATGGCCAATGGCTCTGCAATCACATCCGCCAACTCCTTCAGCACTCTCAGATGCAGCGCATCCGGCCCCGTGGACTTGTGCTCGTCCAGCTTTTCTAAATAGTCCCGACCCACTTCTTTCTCCACAGAGGGCTGGTCACCTCCTCCCCATGCTGTGCTGCCAAGTGCAGTAGTCTGGGAGCTGACCTTCCCGTGAAGACAGAGGCAAAAAAAGCATTGAGTACATTAGCTTTTTCCACATCCTCTGTCACTAGTTTGCCTCCCTCATTCAGTAAGGGGCCCATGCTTTCCTTGACTTTCTTCTTGTTGCTAACATACCTGAAGAAACCCTTCTTGTTACTCTTAACATCTCTTGCTAGCTACAACTCCAGGTGTGATTTGGCCTTCCTGATTTCTTTACTATTCTTTCTACACATCGGGATGGTTTGTCCCTGTAACCTCAATAAGGATTCTTTAAAATACAGCCAGCTCTCCTGGACTCCTTTCCCCCTCATGTTATTCTCCCAGGGGATCCTGCCCATCAGTTCCCTGAGGGAGTCAAAATCTGCTTTTCTGAAGTCCAGGGTCCGTATCCTGCTGCTTACCTTTCTTCCCTGTGTCAGGATCCTGAACTCAACCAACTCATGGTCACTGCCTCCCAGATTCCCATCCACTTTTGCTTCCCCTACTAATTCTTCCCAGTTTGTGAGCAACAGGTCAAGAAGAGCTCTGCTCCTAGTTGGTTCCTCCAGCACTTGCACCAGGAAATTGTCCCCTACACTTTCCAAAAACTTCCTGGATTGTCTGTGCACCACTGTATTGCTCTCCCAGTAGCTATCAGGGTGATTGAAGTCTCCCATGAGAACCACGGCATGCGTTCTACTAACTTCTGTGAGTTGCCGGAAGAAAGCCTCTTCCACCTCATCCCCCTGGTCTGGTGGTCTATAGCAGACTCCCACCATGACATCACCCTTGTTGCTCACACTTCTAAACTTAATCCAGAGACACTCAGGTTTTTCTGCAGTTTCATACTTGAGCTCTGAGCAGTCATACTGCTCCCTTACATACAGTGCAACTCCCACAACTTTTCTGCCCTCCCTGTCCTTCCTGAACAGTTTATATGTACATTGGCCAAACTGGACAGTCGCTACGTAAAAGAATAAATAGACACAAATCAGACGTCAAGAATTATAACATTCAAAAAGGAGTCGGAGAACACTTCAATCTCTTTGGTCGCTCGATTAGAGATCTGAAAGTGGCAATTCAACAAAAAAAAACTTCAAAAACAGACTCCAACGAGAGACTGCTGAACTGGAATTAGTTTGCAAACTGGATACAATTAACTTAGGCTTGAGTAAAGACTGGGAATGGATGTGTCATTACACAAAGTAAAACTATTTCCCCATGTTTATTCGCCCCCCCCTCCCTCCACTGTTCCTCACACGTTCTAGTCAACTGCTGGAAATGGCCCACCTTGATTATCACTACAAAAGGTTCTTTTCCCCCTGCTCTCCTGCTGGTAATAGCTCACCTTACCTGATCACTCTCGTTACAGTGTGTATGGTAACACCCATTGTTTCATGTTCTCTGTGTGAATAATCTCCCCACTGTATTTTCCACTGCATGCATCCGATGAAGTGAGCTGTAGCTCACAAAAGCTTATGCTCAAATAAATCTGTTAGTCTCTAAGGTGCCACAATTGGGAATCGGTCCTGCTTTGAGCAGGGGGTTGGACTAGATGACCTCCTGAGGTCCCTTCCAACCCTGATATTCTATGATTCTACGATTCTAAGTCCTCGTTTCCGCTCAAACCAGGCACTTCCTGCTCTGTGATCCCCCCTGAACCAGCAATATCCTGCACTGCAATCCTCCATAAACCAGCAACCTCTGCATTGCAATCTCTCCCCTCCCCAAAGAAACACCCCTGGAAACCTCTTACTGCAATCTCACACACCCACACAAAACAGCAACCTTTGCACTGTGATCCCTCCCAACCAGCAAACTCTGCACTGTGACCTCCTCCAGTATCAGCATCCTCCTGCCCTGTGATCCCCCCAAAGCAGCAACCGCCTGATTGCAATCTCCCCAATTAGAAATCTCTGCACTGGAATCCCCCCAAACCAGCAGCCTCCCACACTATGATCCTCCCAACCAGCAACCTCTGCACTGCAATCCTCCACAGCCAGCAACCTCTGTACTTTGCTCCTGCCCCCCCATCCAGCAATGATTTACACAACTTAACCCTTCCCATTATCCCTCGCACATAATTTCCCATAAAAGCACACCACCAGCAGCCCCTCTGTTTCTCCAGCTGTGTCCCAGGAGATGACACTCAGATGCTTTGTGACTGTGAGGCACGTACTGGGCTCCAAAGGCAGGGGCCCCCTCCTTCCATTCCAGCGGTTTCTATTTGGCAGTGCCAAATGTACGTTGAAGCCCTGGATACATAAGAGGGAGTCACTGAAACCTCAGCACCTTTCCCACTGATGTTTAAATAATGCTGCGCACTCCATCTCCCTGCTTTCTAGCTTGATCCTTCAGCCTCTTTGAGATTTGCTGGAGAGCGTGAATTGGAATGAGCTCTCCATGTAGGTTGAGTGAGACATTATATCCAGCTACAAACAGCCAGAATTACTGTGGAAGTTGAGTTACAGTTGTTACGAAACATTCCAGTTCAAATGTACCAGAGACTGGGGCCATTTAAAACACCTCTTAGAATCATAGAATCTTAGAATATCAGGGTTGGCAGGGACCTCAGGAGGTCATCTAGTCCAACCCCCTGCTCAAAGCAGGACCAATCCCCAACTAAATCATCCCAGCCAGGGCTTTGTCAAGCCTGACCTTAAAAATATCTAAGGAAGGAGATTCCACCACCTCCCTAGGTAGCTGCCTGGAAATGCAGGGAGGGGACCCTGAAGAGCTCTCAATGAAATGCACGTCTGTAACAGAGCCCACTGGCTAGTCCAAAGCAGCCTTCACTCTGCCTTATGGACATCACTCCCCGGTGGGGTCTTGCTGCTCTCCTTACTCATGCTCATTGCCACACTCTCCCCTCGCTCTCTTAGATGGAGCCCTTGCTGGTGCTTTCCTGCCTGCTCTCTCAGGTGGTAGGTCAGTTCCCTATTCCTCCACCTCACCTGTTACCCTCTCAGGCACAGCAGGCAGGGCAGACAGCCAGGAGGTGGGGGTGTCTGACAATCTCTTTTCTTCTCTTTCTCCTGTTCAGGGTATGGCCCCCATCACCATAGTACATGAGTGCTTCACCAGCTTTAATGAGTGTATCCAGATGGCTCCTGGGAGCAGGGCAAAGCTGTTACCCTATGGCACAGCTAGGCACAGAGCAGCTAGGTGATTTGCCCAAGGCCACACATGGACTGTATGGCAGAGTCGGAACTTGAACCCAGGTCCTGGGCTAGTGCCCTAACCACTGCACCATCCTGCCTCCCTTCTTTTGACTCTTTGGAAGCTGAAACGCCCCATTGATCTTTTCATTTGCAATAATCCTGATGCTTGATCCAGTTCCCCCTTCGTTTTGTGGGATAAATGAGACTTTCTATATGGAAGAGGGGAAAGCAAGTGAATTCACATCCTATCACTATATCTGCACCATGTAAGCCTGCAGGATGCAAACCCAGCTCACCACTGAGGGGGTGTGTGTGGTGGACCGAAAGCATCAGAAGAAATGATGAACTCTGCGTTTGTGATGAGCCTCAGTGTGCAAGGAAACGTGTGTCTGTGCATGCAGACGTGTGTGTAAGTGTAGCTGTATTCATGTATGTGTGTGTGCATGTGTATAGACACGGGCATGGCTGTGTATGTGTGTAAGTGAGTGGGTGTCACGTGAGTACGGTTATAAGTATGAAAGCAGGAGTGTGTGCATGGATAAGTAAACATGACAATGTCTGGGTACATGTACATGTGTGTTTCCCGTGTTTGCACACGCGCTGTGATGATGTCTAAGTGAGTGTGTTCATGTGTGTATAATTGTGTGTGCATTGGACACTGTGCACTCTAGTGTAATGGTACATTTGTGTGTGGATGCAAACATGTGAATGGGCACGAAGGAGACCTAGGAAATAACTGGGGTATATGTAACCCTGGGTATGTCTGCACTGCAGCTGGGAGTGTGCTTCCCAGTGCAGGTAGACAGACACATGCTAGCTCTGCTGGAACTAACATGCTAAAAATATCAGTGTAGCTGAGGGTAGCATAGGCGACAGCTTAGGCTAGCTGCCAGGGGACAAACCTGCCTGGATCCCCGGACAGCTAACCCAAGCTGCCATCCCTGCAAGGCCAGCTACACTGCTATTTTTAGCGTACTACCTTAAGCAGAGCTAGCATGCGTCCATCTACCCAGGCTGGGAAGCACACGCAAAGCTGCAGTGTAGACAAATGCTCTGAAAGATCATGCTGGAGGCACAAACTGTACAAAGTCTCCTGCGGTAACAATCATAGATGTGAAGGCCGCTGATTGTCCATTCAGACCTCCTGCATGGCACAGGCCAGAGACTGTCACCCAGCACGCCCTGCATTGGACCCTCACTTGTGCGCCAGCTGGAGTGGATCTTTTAGAGACAGTCAATCTAAAGGCTCCAAGTGATGGAGACTCCTCCACGCCTGGGAAGCTACTCCAATGGGTCATTGCTTCATTGTTAAAATATCATGTCTTGTTTCTAGCTAGACTTTGCTGACTCCAGCTTCTAACCTCTGGATCTTGTTGTGCGTTTGCTGCTAGACTAGTGAGCCTTGCAAAACACATAAGTGCAGCATGAAGTATCCAATCAAGTTCTTTGGTCTGTTTTTTTGGACAGGCGAAGCTAGCAGGGGAGCGGGGGGCTCGTGCCATCCTCTTCGACATCACGGATGATGAAAGCGCTGCTGACCAGGTACAACCCTATTGATACCTTCAGGAAAACTTCAGTGGTACCATCCTGTCCTGAAATACACATAGCTCTGGTCCACGCTCCCCCTTCTCCATACGAGCCAGGAACTGCAGAAATGGAGGGACAGAGCTGGGGTTGAGGCAAGGGGTGATGGTGCAGATTGGCTCCTCCATTCAGTACACCTACCATAGAACAAAGACCTTTCCCCAGCTCATCCAAAACACAGAGAGCTCAGTTTGCACAAAGGCTTTCCCTAATGGGGTAGCTACATCACCCAACTAGATGTTCAAGCAGGCATTTATGCCCATAATACCCGCTTTGTGCAGCCAAACCAGTTACTGTTCAGGCATTGAGTTTGCCAAGGGCAGTCCCTCCAGAGTCCTAAAGCTAGCAGCTGAACCATTACCCATGAGGGAACCATATAGACTATCACAACTGGTAAAACATCTAGAACACTGACTTTACACAGGGCCACTGAGGAACATCTATTTCCTAAGGCAGCGGTGTCCAATATGTTCGCCACTAGCCACATGTGGCTAATAGGCTATTGAACTGTGGCTAATGCATGTGGCTTTTTTATAATGTGGCTTAATGTGGCTTTTTTATAATGTGGCTAATAATAAAAATTCAAAACCACAAGTGTGGCTAGCAGTGTGGCTAGCATCGAATTTCTATTGGACACCACTGCCCTAAGGACAAATGAGGGGGGACATCTGGTCCCTAGAGAGAGTCAGGGCACAAGGAGGTACATCAGGTATTTAGAGAAAGAGCATGGTTGGTAGGGAGACATCTGGAGAAAGCTGTTGGTGAAGGATGGTGGGAGGGTGTGGGACAATCCAGTCTCAGGAAAGATTGCTGCTCTTCAGAATTCATCCAAGTAGACTTCTGAACTCCAGCTGTGAGACGAAGAGCTCAAAGTTCGACAGCTCTTTTCTCTACCGGTGATAAACTGTGTTGGTGATAAACTGGAGAACTGCTAACATAGTTCCTATTTTTAAGAAAGGAAAAAAAAGTGATCCGGGTAACTACAGGCCTATTAGTTTAACATCTGTATTATGCAAGGTCTTGGAAAATATTTTGAAGGAGAAAGTAGTTAAGGACATTGAGGTCCATGGTAACTAGGACAAAATACAACATGGTTTTACAAAAGGTAGATTGTGCCAAACCAACCTGATCTCCTTCTTTGAGAAGGTAACAGATTTTTTAGACAAAGGAAATGCAGTGGATCTAATTTACCTAGATTTCAGTAAGGCATTTGATACGGTGCCACATGGGGAATTATTAGTTAAATTGGAAAAGATGGGGGTCAATATGAAAATTGAAAGGTGGATAAGGAACTGGTTAAAGGGGAGACTACAGCGGGTCATACTGAAAGGTGAACTGTCAGACTGGAAGGCGGTTACTAGTGGAGTTCCTCAGGGATCGGTTTGGGGACCAATCTTATTTAATCTTTTTATTACTGAGCTTGGCACAAAAAGAGGGAATGTGCTAATAAAGTTTGTGGATGAGACACAGCTGGGAGGTATTTCCAATAAAGAGAAGGACTGGGATATCATACAGGAAGATCTTGATGACCTTGTAAACTGGAGTAATAGTAATAGGATGAAATTTAATAGTGAAAAGTGCAAGGTCATGCATTTAGGGATTAATAACAGGAATTTCTGTTATAAACTGGGAACGCATCACTTGGAAGTAACGGAGGAGGAGAAGGACCTTGGAGTATTGGTTGATCACAGGATGACTATGAACCGCCAATGTGATATGGCTGTGAAAAAAGCTAATGTGGTCTTGGGATGCATCAGGCGAGGTATTTCCAGTAGAGATAAGGAAGTGTTAGTACCATTATACAAGGCACTGGTGAAACCTCAGCTGGAATATTGTGTGCAGTTCTGGTCTCCCATGTTTAAGAAGGATGAATTCAAACTGGAACAGGTACAGAGAAGGGCTACTAGGATGATCCGAGGAATGGAAAACTTGTCTCATGAAAGGAGACTCAAAGAGCTTGGCTTGTTTAGCCTAACCAAAAGAAGGCTGAGGGGAGATATGATTGCTCTCTATAAATATATCAGAGGGATAAATACCGGAGAGGGAGAGGAATTATTTAAGCTCAGTACCAATGTGGACGCAAGAACAAATGGATATAAACTGGCCACCAGGAAGTTTAGACTTGAAATTAGACGAAGGTTTCTAACCGTCAGAGGAGTGAAGTTCTGGCACAGCCGTCAAGTGTAGCAGTGGAGGCAAAAGACATATCTGGCTTCAAGACTAAGCTTGATAAGTTTATGGAAGGGATGGGATGATGGGATAGCCTAATTTTGGCAATTAATTGATCTTTGACTATTAGCGGTAAATATGCCCAATGGCTTGTGATGGGATGTTAGATGGGGTGGGATCTGAGTTACTACAGAGAATTCTTTCCTGGGTGTCTGGCTGCTGAGTCTTGCCCACATGCTCAGGGTTTAGTGGATCGCCAATTTTGGGGTCGGGAAGGAATTTTCCTCCAGGGCAGATTGGAAGAGGCCCTGGGGGTTTTCCACCTTCCTCTGCAGCATGGGGCATGGGGTCATTTGCTGGAGAATTCTCTGCATCTCGAAGTCTTTAAATCATGATTTGAGGACTTCAATAGCTCAGACATAGGTCAGGGGTTTGTTACAGGAGTGGGTTGGTGAGATTCTGTGGCCTGCGTTGTGCAGGAGGTTAGACTAGACGATCATAATGGTCCCTTCTGACCTTAAAGTCGATGAGTCTGTGGTCTCACACAAAGGGAACTGCTTCCTCCCACCCCATGTGACAGAATAACGGAATGAAGCAAGTCTCAGACCTGTATGGAGTAGCTATTATTGTTGTGTAAGTGGGTGGTCAATGCTGCTTGCTAGTGTTTGGCCTATAGTCAAAATGTCACTGGGCTAAGCAGAATGAGAAATGCAGGCTACAGGTATGAGTAGGCTCCACTTCCTGTGGTGCTAGATTCACAGGAAGTGAGTATAAAATAATGTCACTGTTGGGTACAAGAGACTTTGCTTTAGTGAGAAGAACACGAGACGCTCTCCCACTTCCATTGTGTCAGGATGTAACCCATTAAAGTACATTGCATTCTGAGACCAGCCTCATTCGTTTCATGGGAGGAAGCAGTCCTGGCTTTTGCTGAAATGGGTGTTAGGCAGGCAGTGTTAGGTATGGAAAACACATGTCAAATAATGACTAAACGGAATATAATACCAATCAAATGTAGGTGAATTTGAGGAAAAAGCTCAGATTTGGGCTAGAGAGACTGTGCCCAGATTAGTGCTTCAATATCACTGTACACAAGAAGGAATGTGGCACTGATCATGGGCACTGGCCCCATTATTTTCATAGTTGATTCATTCACTCATTCCTTAGGTCCAGCATTGTGCTAGGCACTTTACTAGCAGGTACAGATAAAGACAAAGGCCCTGCACCAAACAGCTTACAACTGAGACAGATAATGTAGGATGCAGGAGGCAGGGGTAAAGGCAGTGAGACACACCAGGGTGTTTATTATTTTGTTGCAAGGGTTATGAAGCATCATCATCTCTCTGAGGTGAAGCCTATTGGTTTTGGGCAAGGGGGTTGAAAGAGGAAAGCAAGAGACATGGTCAAGCAGTGCCTGTAATTGAGGGAGGGATAAGAACAGGAAAGGGGCAGCAAGGGGAGCAGTAGAGACAAGAGCAGAGAGGTGGGCAGGAGCCAGGGTGTTGGGGGATGAGGTGCTTCCATCTGGTGCAGACCGAGGAGCAGAGTGGCAATAATAAATATACCATGTCACGGGTTCTGGGCAGCGACTGTAGCACTTGTCCTGGGCAGCAGTCCTCATCCCCCCACACCTTATTTGATCGTGAGTTTTGATAAATCTCCATCACACCCACGTCTCAGGCTGTGCTCCGGGCCATCTCATGACCAAGCTTGTTTCTTTGCAGCTGAGGAAACCCAGAGGCCTGAGTCAGCCTGTGGTTCTGATCCGGGGCCATGACGCTGAGCTTCTGATGGGCGTTGTGAACAAGAATCGAGAAGCACATGTGAAGATTGAGGTTAAACAGCAGCCAGCATGGGTGAGGAACATGTCATACCTGCCTTCTCCTTTCCACTCCAAGTCAATCTTCTCAGCACTGAAGCAAAGCCGAGCCTCCCTTCTATGGGAGGTGACACCCTGGCCCTCTGCAAGAGCCAGATGGAACCCTTCTTCCTCTTGTCTCTTTATTTGGTACCAGTCCAAGGTCCTTTGCTCTGCAGAACAAAGCGTAGTGAGCTGAGACACCGAGAGGGGCTGGCTGAGATTTGCAGAGAGGACCTCAGACCAGTTTTCTTTTTCTTGTGAAGAGCAAAGAGGGTGGGTCTGGCTGGGCACTTCTCATATGTCTGAAGGGTAACAATCATGAAGAGATCAGGAGCCTGGCCTGGTCTCATTCCTACCAGGCACAAACACCAGGGTAACGGATCTTCTGTCTCTCTCCAACAGCCAGACTATGATGTGTGGATTCTTCTCACAGTGCTGAGCACTGTCATCGTGATCATTCTGATTTTTGTTGTTCGCACCAAGTGTCACTGGAACAGGACTCAGGTAAGAATCATAGAATCATAGATTAGGGTTGGAAGAGACCTCAGGAGGTCATCTAGTTCAACCCCCTGCTCAAAGCAGGACCAGCACCAACTAAATCATCCAAATGTATGGAGACTGCTCAGAACCAGGCGGTTCTACAAGGAAAAGGGAAGCAATGGGGGCTCCTTCTACACACAACTAGTCTAAGAAAGGGTGTGATGGGCCAGAGACAAGAGTGAGAGAAAGTGTGTGTGTGTTTGAGAAAGAGGAGACCTATCTACACAAGGCGAGTGTCCCATTGCAGGGACAAGCCTGCAGCCCAATGATGCGAGCAGTCTGGGTTCCTGCAGTGATTCAGTGCAGCCACACTCCAGCCCTGGGTTTCGGGAACCAGTTGTGCCATATGCGGTTTGCGCTCACCCCAGACATTGCTGTACCTGTGCACTGCAGCAACTTCCCAACCAGCTCTCCAGAGCAGGTGCCATTTACACACAAATGTTGGCAAAGCGCCCTGATTTCCCCAGCTCACTAACTAACCCCTGTCTTCGGTGCCAGTGGAAGTCACTGGCCTGTTCTAACATTAGAGAGGTTAAAATAATTTAGTGGAAAACCAGTACATTACATAAAGACCTTCCAAGTACAGAAATATTTCCAAATTTGGAAACCCTCCTTTTTCTACAGGATAACAAAGTCACTCCTGAGAGCCCATTTCCTGAATACCTTGTTGGTCAAGAGATCCAGAAGTGACATGTGACTAGAGACACTTGAAAGGGGCCTGGATTTCAGTGTGGGCTAAGCAGCCACGTCTGTAACCCAGGCCTGTTTAAGGCATCTGAGCTTGGGCACCCAAAGTCCTGAGTCACTTTCTTGGCCAAGACCACAATTCAGATAAAAACAGCTACATTTTCATGTAATCCACTAGAAAATGGAAAGAACAAAGAACACTGCACGCTCTTGCCCTGAGATTCAGCACTTCTCCATTTCTGACAGAATCAGTTTTTTCCGACTCAATAGAAAGATAAGCTTCCCTGTCTTCTAGTGAAATGACACAGAGCAGCAAAGATAAGCAAACGAAGGGAAAGCTCAGTCCCCAGAAAGGTAAGTCCCAGAGGAGTGGAGATTTGGGGTATTATTTGATTACTGCAAGTGGAGCAGCAGCGATGCCTAGCCTCAGGGCTAGCTCAACAGTCACCTCAGGCAGAAATTCTCATGTCTGGGCTCTGTGTGAACGTTGGAATGGGAACGGTGCCGCTGTTTTCCATAAAAGTAATGTTAAAATTTTTGCAACCATATTCAGAATGTTCTGCCTGCACTGAGCCTGCGCCATGCCCCACTCAATCTCCTATAAGACGTGCCAGGTCCATAGCTAGTGCTCCAGATGGGGCTTGGGAAAAACAGATTCTCCTCCTTCTTACAAAGGGAAGCTGCAGGCAGCCAAGACCCTATGAGTGCTAGTCTCTTCTCTTCCAGCAACTGGCATTAGTAATTCTCGTGCCGTTAATTCTTTGCACTTATAGCCATTCTGTACCCCTACCCTAGGAGACAGAAAAGTATCTTTGCCCCTTTTATAAACAAGGTAGCTGATGTGTTGCACACCACCACCACTTACAGACCAAGGAATGGAGCCCAGGTTTTATTGTGATAGCCCCAACATCACAGTGCCACTCAGGGTAGAGTTGTATGTGAGGCTGGCTGATCAGTAAAATGAGATTGCTCCTGCATACCTTTACAAAGCCAGTTGAGACCACGTTTCTCTCCCATAGCCAGCAACAGAAATCAGGAGTCCTGCTTCCTAGCGTTCTACTGCTGCTCATTGAATAGTTGGATAACCCACAAGCAAAGTGTGTGTTGTGACCTGCTTTGGTGGCTGGTGCATAGCTACTGGAAACCCTTTTAACTCAAATGGGAAAGTAGTGTGCTGAGCTACGGATCTGGAGTTTCTGAGTTCAAAATCCCCTGATGACCCATGTGGGAGGTCATTACAGTTGCTGATGAAGGAAGTCTTTACTTTTTCAGTTTTCTAAACAAACAAACAAACAAATTAGAAAATTCCATGCAAAAATTATGTTAAAATGTTTTGAACATTGCAAAGTCAAGCACTCAAGAGTTAGGGACTGCTAAAAATAAAGTTTTGCATGCAACCGTAAATCTGCCCCTTGTACATATGTTTTATGAAATAATCTATAGTTACATCATCACAGGCAGGTTTTTGCTTTGTGGCACAGATTTTTGTGATAGTCCATCCCCAGGCTGTCTAAGTGAGATGATCTTTTCATAGTTAAGATATTCACAGCCATAATCATCAATTCTGCATCGGGGTGCGCCCAGAGGGACCCCTGCACCCAAATGGAGTCCTGTTTTTTCCAAGTCACGTCTCAAAAGCTACTTGTGTGAATCTTTACTGTTCATCATCCTTGTGTAAGTAGGGCATTTGTCCGACCATAGTAGGGGAGTTTCTCTGTGTTCACACTACCATGGCTGATCCGAGTGACGAAAGGATCTGAGTCCCTGCTCTGATTCACTTCACCCCAGTTCTGCCCACCTGCACTTCCCTCCTGGCCCTGCGTGAACAGGACTTGCATCACACAGGGAAGACTGAGACCAGGGGTTTCTGGGTGTTTACCTCAGTCTCTCCATGGGCAACTCTAAGCAGGGACGAGGCGCCCCTAGTCCAGGACACACCTACCTCATGTGTTACCCTTTTAACCTGTAAACCCTGCAATTCACTTAAACATCTGTGCACCCAAAACTGTTCCTTTGGGCATTGAAGAGCCCTTCACAGTGTCCCCATGGTGAGGAACTGGTTTGGGTACATTTCAGTGCAGCAGCCTCTAAAGTGCAACAAATTTATGAGCCTGGTGTCTTCTTCCTGGACCTGGACCTGCTGCTCTGACGCTACTGGTATGGCACTGCCCCCAGATGGGAATGGACTCTGTGTGACAGAACCCATTCTGTGCCTTTGCTTCGACCTCCCCTCAGGCCACGTCCCTCTCTAGGTCTGGCACTTAGTGCCCTCCGAACCAACTCTGTCTCAGGTGCTCAATGGCCTCCCAACCGGCCATGTCCCCCTCTGGCTCCAGTTTTCAATGGCCTCCCGATAGACTTTTGGAAGGGGCCTGTATCTTGTTCTCTCCCTAGGGCGTAGACTGATGCACCAGACCCTGCTGTGACCGTGGGAGACCCACCCCACCACTTGCTCTGGGGCTTCTTCGCTCCGGCTGATGCTCTGACTCTGGGCTGCTGCTCCAGCTGCTGCACGCTCCCTGGCCCAGCTCTGGGCTGCAGCTCTGGCTCCCTAGCTCTGCTCTTCGGCTGTTGCACTCTCTCAGCTCTGCCCTGGCAGCTCCAGCTCACAGGGAACAAGGGCCCTGGGCTCTCAACTCCCTCATTGGCTTGCTCGCCCTGACAATCTAGCTGACTTGGAGTGCTGGCCTCTCCCCATTGGCTCTAGGGACCCGTCTGTCCCAGGATCCTGACTCCTCTTCAGCCCTTCCCCTTTCCCCTTGGAGGGGGCCAACCAAAAAACCACTACATTTCAGTAAGGGGCCAATAGCCCCTGATACTTGTACTCAACAGGGAGGACAAAGCATCATTCGATTTTCGTGGCTCACAGAAGAGTCACCACAGACTCCTCTAGTTCGGGGTTCAATGCCTAGTTTGTAAAATCTCAGATTACCCCTAATTTGCCATGGGGCAAATTCCTTCTTGCATCAGCAGGTGATCAGTTTAGGCCTTTATGTGTGAGGGTTAAGAGTCCTCACTGTTTTATTGCAGCGGGTGGAAACTGTGGACACTGTATTTATTCTTATGTGTTTTAAGAACCCATTTTCATCAATACATTAATTGTAATGGTACACTCACTGACATAGGGCCTTTCACCTGCAGACTTCAAACCCCTTCCCAAAGATGAGTAGCATTGTCCCCATTATAAGGCTGAGTCCCAGAAAGGCTAAAGCCTGAATTTTCAATCTCATGTTGGGTGCCCAACTAGAGACAATGGGTGCGTGGCATCAGGCACTCAGAATTAGCGGGGGTGTTTGGAGGGTTAGGCTCAGATCACAACCTGAATCAGGGGAGAGTTGGGAAGCCAGGTCTCCTGAAGGCCAGTGCCCTGCTCTAACAACTAGGTCATGCTGCCTCACGGTTTGCCTTGAACAGCTGCCAGGTCCATTTGTCTGTATCAGCTGCCTTTATTGCCAGGTAGGGTGCAGAGATCTGGTGCTGCAGGCTGCAGTGTGGCTGGTGAAAGGAGAGCCCTCGCTTTCACATCTGGCAATTTGGTGGAACATGTGGCTCTCTGCCCTAACTATGCAGGAGGGGCCAGTCCTCTCTTCACTCTGCCACTTCTTCAGTCTAGCACTCTTTTCCTTTCTCCCAGGACTCCTTGCAGCAGCAGACCATGCAGGCGATCAGCCAGCTGGCCATCCGGAAGTACCAGGCCCGGTGCCAACAGGATGCCCTAAGGGATTCGGCCAGCAGCTGCAGCTCAGCCCCCATCTGTGCTATCTGTCTGGAGGAGTTCAGTGAGGGCCAGGTAGGACAAGCTCACGCTGGAGCGGCTGTATGCGTAGGCTGGAAGCCGGATAGCGAGTATGGCCAATCACGGCTCTGAACTCTCTGGGCAGAGGTGCTGTTGGGAGGGGGGTGCTGCACAGCTGTTCAGGGCTCTCTGTAAATGGCAAAAGGAGCAGTGTGCTTTGTGGGGCAGGGCATTTCCTGGCCCTGTGCTTTGGAGCAAGCCTGCCCAAGCTCAGTATTGCTGCCTACTGTACCAGCATGGGAGCAGGGGCCTGTGAGCGCTTTAAACCCAGAGCCTCACAGAGATTTAGGCACCCAACTCCCATTGAAATCAGGAATTAGGTGCCTAAATCTCTTTGAGAATCTGGGCCTTGGTCCTTTGGGGGTCTGGCCTAGGCTGCTCCGGGATGCTGAGGTGATGCCTAACACCAAGAGCATTTTTCCCTGTCAGCACCTGTCAAGACAAGTGGGATCCTCTCGCTGGGTGTGTGAACCTGGCTGCTGTCCAGGTATCCCAGCCTTTGTCACCTCCAGACCAGATTACTGTGACACACTGCCATTGGGATCCTTCAGACATGACGCTGGCACAGAGCGTGGCTCCCCTGCTGGCAGTCAGTTAACACCGTGAAGGTTAAGGGGTGACTTGATCACAGGGAACAAATATTTGATATGGGGCTCTTCACGCTAACAGAGAAAGTCTTACACCATTCAATGGCCGGGAGCTGAAGCTAGACAAATTCAGACTGGAAATTAGGCATGCATTTTTAACAGTGAGAGCAATGAACCATTGGAACAACTTACCCAGACTTGTGGTGGATTCTCCATCACTGATGATTTTTATATCAAGATGGGATGTTTTTCTCTAAGATCTGCTCTAGGAATTACTGCAGGGCAGTCTCTGGCCTGTGTTATGGAGGGGTGAGACGAGATGATCTCAATGGTCCCTTCTGGCCTTGGAATCTGTGAATCAGTTGTATCTTTCCAGGACCAGGTGACTCCAGAGCTCCATGGCCTGGCCTGGCTGCCAAGACATTTGCACGGAGAGTTGGGGGTATAGGGAAAGCTCTAATGGGTTGAGGCCTGGTTCTCTGAGCAATGCCTCTCCCCAAAGGGTACTGCACCAGTTGCACTTAGAACTGGGGCCTTTGTTGGAGCCCTCGGTGTCAGAGGGCTGCTGACAGGGCATTCCTCCAGAGGGCTTTGCAATGTGTTGCCCCACTCGGACCCCAGAGCTTGGACACTGCAGAGGCATGGGCTGGTATGCTCAGAGCCAGCTCGCAGCATTAGAGATTCTTTGGTGGTCTTGTTTTGTGCATTGGGAAGCGCCCGGAGTGTGGGATCAGGGCTGATCCAGGGGGCAGGGAGAGAGACGCCTCCCCACCCACATCCAGCTCCCTCCAGAGACCTTGCTCTGTCCACTCAAACCTCCCCTCTGTCTCTGTCTAGGAGCTGCGGATTATTTCCTGTTCCCATGAGTTCCACAGAGAGTGTGTCGACCCCTGGCTACAGCAGCACCACACCTGCCCGCTCTGCATGTTCAATATCATTGGTAGGGCTCCAGCAGGGGCCAAATCGCCCATCAAAAGCACCTCCCAGCAGGAGTGTGTGTGGGTGGGGGGAGGGGAGTGTGGTATGTGTGGGGGGTGTTTGTGGTGTGGGTGTGGTGTGGGGGAAAGGGTGTTTGTGGTGTATGGGTGGGTTTGATGTGGGAGGATGGGTATTTGTGCTGTCTTTGTGGCGGGGAGGGTCTGGTGTGTGTGTAGGTGAGTGTCTGGAGCGTGTGTGATGTTATGTGTGTGGGAGAAGGGGGGGTTGTGTGCCGGGGGAAGGTGTGGTGTGTATGGGGGTGGGTGCTGTGTGCAGGGGTGGAGTGTCTGGATGTGTGTGGGGGGAGGAGGTTTGTGGTGGGTGGTGGGGTGTTATGTGTGGGGGGGTGTTATGTGCATGGGGCCGTTGTGGTGTGGAGGGGCGGGTGTGGTGTGTGTGCAGGGGTGGGTGTTCGGGTGTGTGTGGGGAGGGTATGGTGTGTGTGTGTGGATATTTGGGTGTGTGGAAGGGAAGGGATTTGTGGTGTGTTGGGGGTGGTGTTATATGTGTGGGGTTTGTGGTGTGTGTAGGGAAGGTGTGGTGTGTATGTGTGGGTGGGTGTTGGGGGGGGTGTGGTTTAGGGGAAGGCTCACCAGGCTGTACGGGAAGCAGTAAAAGGGTCCCCCTGTGCTGGGAGGGACAAGGAATATTTGGGTATCAGGCACAGAAGAGAGGTGGGTCAGGGCAGGTGGGAGAGTGGGAGGGGTTCTGGGGAGGGGTTGCCAGGCACTGGGTGCGTGGGGTGCTACCCTGGGGAGGGGTTGCCAGGCGTTGGGTGTCTGGGCGGGGTTCTGGGGAGGGGTTGCCAGGTAACTGTGGGATGGGATGCAGACGTGTAGTGGATATGCCCTTTCTGTCTCTCTAGAGGGGGCTGCCTTTGCCCAGCCTGCGCATTTGAGGCAGAATCCCCAGGACCTGGAACCCGGGCAGCGGCTTCACCTCTTCCGGCAACACCCAGGACACGCCCTGTATCGCCTCCCAGAGGCCCACCCCCAGAGGCGGCTCAGAAACTTTGCTTCGCAGCTCCCCCATGGCAACCCCTTCTTCCATTCCCCAGAGCTCTCCCAGTTGGATTTAACCACCATGCACTATATGCCATACAGGCCAGTGGGCTCCATGGCCACATGCAGCCATCAGCCCTCTCTAGCCCAAGGCCTAGGGAATGAGCAGCACCGAAAATCTCCAGCATGTGGGCAGATGCCATCTTCTCACAGGACCTGCCCACTTCAGCACCAGGCCCGTTGCCTGGGATTCAGGACGGCGGTAGTACCAAGACAGCACCATGCTGCCCCTCTTCGTCGGGGAACCAGTCATGGGAGGCAGCAGAACAGCAGTGGCTCAGGGGAGAGCTATCTCACATTGCACAGTGGGTACCTGGCTGATGGTCCAGGCAGTGACTCCAGCTCCGGACCCTGTCATGGCTCCTCCAGTGATTCTATGTTGAATTGCACAGACGTCAGCCTTCAGGGCATCCATGGTAGCTGCTCCACTTTCCGCAGCTCCCTGAGCAGTGACTACGATCCCTGGGTGTACTGTAGCTCCACTGACAATGGCCAGGAGCAGCTGCAGTCTCCAGGGGAGCCAAGGCTAAGGTCTTTGGACTTGAAGGAGACCGGCAGCTCTGCGTTAGCCAAGAGTCAGATACTGACTCATGTCCATTATCACCACCACAGGCACCATCACTACAGGAAGGACCCAGAGTGTCCGTCTGGGAGATCAGGCCAGGAACCCAGCCAGCATAAGCCCTGGTTTTCGGGGGCCGTGCACAGTGCTCGGACACAAAAGAGGACTGAGAAAACTCGTCACTGCAAACAGCCTCTTGAAAGCAGCCCAATGTCCCAGGATGCATCTCTGTCAGGACAGCCCTCCTGTGTGCATCAGGGACCTGACCACTCAAAGCACCTCTCCTCTTCTGCAGATGGGTCTGACTTCAGCTGGGTGGCCAGTAAGCAAGCTGGAACAACTGGTCCATTGCCTTTCCCAATGTTACAGAAACATGGCTTACAAAGCCGTCACCCCAGAAGGAAACGGAAGTGCCGCCCGGAGCCTGCCCTGGCTCACCTCTCAGAGGACTCAGACATGCACAAAGACTGCAATGTTCACATTCACTATGGCCACTCCCCTAGCTACTGCTGCTCCCCAGACGTTCAGCCACTGTTGCCAACAGCCCCTATGCCCTATTGCTCAGGCTCTCAGGTGGTTTGGAAGTGCCTAGTCCCGCCCTCCAACTTGGAGTCCCAGCAGCAGGACAAGGACCTATCAGAATGGGAGGGGAAACCCATGTATCCAGTTGATTTCTCAGGGACAGGCACCACAGAAGGCAACACGAGTCTTTACCTCCCCTGCCAAACTCTGCAACACAATCAGGGTAAGTTTGTTAGTCACCTCTGCTTTTAGCAAACCTCTGAACAGTGGATTGTACAATTAAGGGTTCATATATAGACACTGTGTGTGTGTGTGTGTGTGTGAATGTCTGCATATATACACCACACATTGCCCCAAGCTACTGGCAACTGAGAATGGATATTTTCAGAGTTCAGACATTAGATCACAGAATCATAGAAGATAAGGGTTGGAAGAGACCTCAGGAGGTCATCTAGTCCAATCCCCTGCTCAAAGCAGAACCAATCCCCAACTAAATCTTCCCAGCCAGGGCTTTGACAAGCCGGGCCTTAAAAACATCTACGGATGGAGATTCCACCACCTCCTTAGGTAACCCATTCCAGTGCTTCACTGCACTCCTAGTGAAATAGTTTTTCCTAATATCCAACCTACATCTCCCCCACTGCAACTTGAGACCATTGCTCCTTGTTCTGTCATCTGCCACCGCTGAGAACAGCCTAGCTCCATCCTCTTTGGAACCCCCCTTCTGGTACTGGAAGGCTGCTATCAAATCCCCCCTCACTCTTCTCTTCTTCAGACTCAATAAGCCCAGTTCCCTCAGCCTCTCCTCAAAAGTCGTGTGCCCCAGCCCCCTAATCATTTCGTTGCCCTCTGTTGGACTCTCTCCAATTTGTCCACATCCCTTCTGTACTGGGGGGCCCACAACTGTACACAATACTCCAGATGTGGCCTCACCAGTGCCGAATAGCGGGGAATAATCACTTCCCTCGATCTGCTGGCAGTGCTCTTACTAATGCAGCCCAATAAGCTGTTAACCTTCTTGACTCATAACCAGCCTCTCGTCCACTGCAATCCCCAGGTCCTTTTCTGCAGAACTGCCGCTTAGCCAGTCGGTCCCCAGCCTGTAGCGGTGCCTGGGATTCTTCCGTCCTAAGTGAAGGACACTTGTCCTTGTTGAACCACATCAGATTTCTTTTGGTCCAATCCTCCAATTTGTCTAGGTCACTCTGGATCCTATGCCTACCCTCCAGGTTATCTACTTTTCCCCCCAACTTAGTGTCATCTGCGAACTTGCTGAGGGTGCAATCCATCCCATCATCCAGATCATTAATGAAGCTGTTGAACAAAACCGGCCCCAGGATCGACCCCTGGGGCACTTTACTGAATTCAGAAGGGCCTTGCTTTTGTGACCACACTACCTGATATTTTTAGCCCTGGTAAATGAAGCAGGTTTACATTTAGTAATTGGGCAGGAGGCCTCTCAGAAAAAGTTCGGTGCTATAGGAGGTGTTGCTTATTCACCGGGTAACGTGAGACCTTCCTGTTACCAGTGCAGCATAGAATGCACTTTGCTCCCAGAGTCGAGAATGAGGTCCTTTGCTTCCATATGCAGCCCGTTAAAGACAATGAAAAGACTCCCACTCTCTTCAAAAGGCTTTGGACAGAAGTGGTTATACACAGGGTAACTCCACTGTTTTCACAGGGTTCTGGTCCCGCAGCGGAAGAGGGCCATGAGAGCTTGTTGCAGAGCTGCTGCTCAGGGATGGGAACCTCCCAGTGCTCCAGCCTCCAAAATCATTCAGGCTGCACTTTCTGCACAACTATGTGCTAGCTGAGGGGTGTGTGGGAATTGGTGGCCTCCACTGCAGGTGATGGGGATCTCAGGTACTTAAAGCCTTGGCCTAGAGGAGGGAAGCACCTAACTCCAGAGTCTGCAGCTGCCTAGGGCCAGTGCTGAGGATTTAGAACCCTTAGTGCCACCATTGCAAGGTTCAAGCATGCTCAGCCTTGGAATTGCCACCCCTCCCTTGCTAGCAGCTGCAGCTATCTAAGGCTGGCCTCTGGCAATTGGCCCCATGGCTGTAGCCAGAGAAGCTGCAGGTGGCTCTGTGACTACTGGGGGCCATTAAGCTAGGAGTGGATAAAGAAACTGGAGTTAACCTCAAGGAACAGAGGTCACCTGTAGGAAAGGAATGTCAAGGGAAGCAGGGAAAGAGGAAGCAGATCAGGTTTGCAGGGGGAGAATAGCCCCAGCTGGCTAGGGAGCACATTCAGTGATGAGCTGCCAAAATCTTAACAACTGGTTCCCTCCTCTCCCCATGAGGGGGTCATAGAATCATAGAATCATAGAATATCAGGGTTGGAAGGGACCTCAGGAGGACATCTAGTCCAACCCCCTGCTCAAAGCAGGACCAATCCCCAATTAAATCATCCCAGCCAAAGCTTTGTCAAGCCTGACCTTAAAAACTTCTAAGGTAGGAGATTCTACCACCTCCCTAGGTAATGCATTCCAGTGTTTCACCACCCTCTTAGTGAAAAAGTTTTTCCTAATATCCAACCTAAACCTCCCCCACTGCAACTTGAGACCATTACTCCTTGTCCTGTCCTCTTCTACCACTGAGAATAGTCTAGAACCATCCTCTCTGGAACCACCTCTCAGGTAGTTGAAAGCAGCTATCAAATCCCCCCTCATTCTTCTCTTCTGCAGACTAAACAATCCCAGCTCCCTCAGCCTCTCCTCATAAGTCATGTGTTCCAGTCCCCTAATCATTTTTGTTGCCCTTCGCTGGACTCTCTCCAATTTATCCACATCCTTCTTGTAGTGTGGGGCCCAAAACTGGACACAGTACTCCAGATGAGGCCTCACCAATGTCGAATAGAGGGGAACGATCACGTCCCTCGATCTGCTCGCTATGCCCCTACTTATACATCCCAAAATGCCACTGGCCTTCTTGGCAACAAGGGCACACTGCTGACTCATATCCAGCTTCTCGTCCACTGTCACCCGTAGGTCCTTTTCCGCAGAACTGCTGCCTAGCCATTCGGTCCCTAGTCTGTAGCGGTGCATTGGATTCTTCCATCCTAAGTGCAGGACCCTGCACTTATCCTTATTGAACCTCATCAGATTTCTTTTGGCCCAATCCTCCAATTTGTCTAGGTCCCTCTGTATCCTATCCCTGCCCTCCAGCGTATCTCCCACTCCTCCTAGTTTAGTATCATCCGCAAATTTGCTGAGAGTGCAATCCACACCATCCTCCAGATCATTTATGAAGATATTAAACAAAACCAGCCCCAGGACCGACCCCTGGGGCACTCCACTTGACACCGGCTGCTTACTAGACATGGAGCCATTGATCACTACCCGTTGAGCCCGACAATCTAGCCAACTTTCTGCCCACCTTATAGTGCATTCATCCAGCCCATACTTCCTTAACTTGCTGACAAGGATACTGTGGGAGACTGTGTCAAAAGCTTTGCTAAAGTCAAGAAACAATACATCCACTGCTTTCCCTTCATCCACAGAACCAGTCATCTCATCATAGAAGGCGATTAGATTAGTCAGGCATGACCTTCCCTTGGTGAATCCATGCTGACTGTTCCTGATCACTTTCCTCTCATGTAAGTGCTTCAGGATTGATTCTTTGAGGACCTGCTCCATGATTTTTCCGGGGACGGAGGTGAGGCTGACTGGCCAGTAGTTCCCAGGATCCTCCTTCTTCCCTTTTTTAAAGATTGGCACTACATTAGCCTTTTTCCAGTCATCCGGGACTTCCCCCATTCACCACAAGTTTTCAAAGATAATGGCCAGTGGCTCTGCAATCACATCCACCAACTCCTTTAGCACTCTCGGATGCAACTCGTCCGGCCCCATGGACTTGTGCACGTCCAGCTTTTCTAAATAGTCCCTAACCACCCATCCCTGCCCCCCGGGATCCCAGCCCCATCTACCCCCATCCCTGTCCCCTGACTGTCCCCAGAACCGGGCAGGAGGGTCTCGTGGGCCACCGTAGTGTGTGCCCACCCCACTCCTAATAGCCAGAGGGACCTGCTGGAGGGGCGAGGTGGGGAGTCCCGGCGGTGCTTACCTGGGGCAGCTCCCGGGAAGCATCCAGCAGCACCCTCTGGCTCCTAGGGGCAGGGTAGCATAGCTAGGGTGGGAGCAGAGGGAGCGGCCGCTCCCCTCACTGATCACATCAAAAGTGGCGCCTTAAGCACCAACTCCCTGGGTGCTCTGGGGCTGGAGCCCCCACAGGGAAAATTTAGTGGGTGCAGAGCCCCCACTGACAGCTCCCCGCCTGGCCCCAGCTCACCTCACCTCCGCTCCGCCTCCTCCCCTGAACGCGCCGCCCCGCTCTGCTTCTCCGCCCCCGCACCTCGGCTTCCTGCGAATCAGCAGTTCACGCGGGAAGCCAGGGAGGGCTGAGAAGCAGGCGGCGGTCGCGCTCAGGCCCAGGGAGGCGGAGGTGAGCTGGGGCAGGGAGCGATTCCCCTACGCGCCCCCTGGGTTACCTGCTGCGGTGCGGGTGGCCCTTCTCGTGCCCCTCCCCCCCCAGCTCACCTCCGCCTCCTTGGGCCTGAGCACAAAGCCGCCACTTGCTTCTCAGCCCTCCCCGGCTTCCCGCGTGAACAGCTGATTCGCAGGAAGCCGGGGGGGGCAGAGAAGCAGAGCAGGGCGGCACGTTCAGGGGCAGAGGTGGAGCGGAGGTGAGCTGGGGTTGGGGGGGCACGAGGAGGGCCACCCGCGCAACAGCAGATAACCCGGGGGGCGCGCAGGGGAATTGCTCCCCGCCCCAGCTCGCCTCCGCCTCCCTGGGCCTAGCACGAAGCTGCTGCCTGCTTCTCAGCCCTCCCCAGCTTCCCGCGTGAACAGCTGATTCGAGGGAAGCTGGGGGAGGGGAGGGGGCAGAGAAGCAGGGTGGGGTGGCGCGTTCAGGGGCGGAGGCCGAGTGGAGATGAGCTGGGGCCAGGCGCGGGGTGGGGAGCTGCCGGTGGGTGCTCTGCACCCACCAAATTTTCTCTGTGGGTGCTCCGGGGCTGGAGCACCCACGGAGTCAGTGCCTAAGGCGCCACTTTTGGCCGGTTGTTAAATTTAGAAGCCCTTTTAGAACCGGTTGTCCCGCTAAAAGGGCTTCTAAATTTAACAACTGGTTCCCGCGAACCGGCTCCAACTCACCACTGAGCACATCCAAGGTAGAAGAGAAACAAGCATGTGGAGAGGTGGTGGTGACCAAGACGAGAGCAGGA